GATCATCCCCCTTGCGCGGAGCGAGGGTTCTCCACCCCGCACAACATGATCTACTCGACCACCCATATGGTTACCGCCAGAAAAAAAAACGGAAGTAAAAAAAAACGGTAACCTGGTTGCCGAGCTCACGAGGTGAATTGGCTTGTTTTACAACGTCGTTGTCAAGCGACGAAAACCCACTCCCGATGGCAAACACCGGGGGGGGCGGCTTGTTTTACAACGTCGTTGTCAAGCGACGAAAACCCACTCCCGATGGCAAACACCGGGGGGGGCGGCTTGTTTTACAACGTCGTTGTCAAGCGACGAAAACCCACTCCCGATGGCAAACACCGGGGGGGGCGGCTTGTTTTACAACGTCGTTGTCAAGCGACGAAAACCCACTCCCGATGGCAAACACCGGGGGGGGCGGCTTGTTTTACAACGTCGTTGTCAAGCGACGAAAACCCACTCCCGATGGCAAACACCGGGGGGGGCGGCTTGTTTTACAACGTCGTTGTCAAGCGACGAAAACCCACTCCCGATGGCAAACACCGGGGGGGGCGGCTTGTTTTACAACGTCGTTGTCAAGCGACGAAAACCCACTCCCGATGGCAAACACCGGGGGGGGCGGCTTGTTTTACAACGTCGTTGTCAAGCGACGAAAACCCACTCCCGATGGCAAACACCGGGGGGGGCGGCTTGTTTTACAACGTCGTTGTCAAGCGACGAAAACCCACTCCCGATGGCAAACACCGGGGGGGGCGGCTTGTTTTACAACGTCGTTGTCAAGCGACGAAAACCCACTCCCGATGGCAAACACCGGGGGGGGCGGCTTGTTTTACAACGTCGTTGTCAAGCGACGAAAACCCACTCCCGATGGCAAACACCGGGGGGGGCGGCTTGTTTTACAACGTCGTTGTCAAGCGACGAAAACCCACTCCCGATGGCAAACACCGGGGGGGGCGGCTTGTTTTACAACGTCGTTGTCAAGCGACGAAAACCCACTCCCGATGGCAAACACCGGGGGGGGCGGCTTGTTTTACAACGTCGTTGTCAAGCGACGAAAACCCACTCCCGATGGCAAACACCGGGGGGGGCGGCTTGTTTTACAACGTCGTTGTCAAGCGACGAAAACCCACTCCCGATGGCAAACACCGGGGGGGGCGGCTTGTTTTACAACGTCGTTGTCAAGCGACGAAAACCCACTCCCGATGGCAAACACCGGGGGGGGCGGCTTGTTTTACAACGTCGTTGTCAAGCGACGAAAACCCACTCCCGATGGCAAACACCGGGGGGGGCGGCTTGTTTTACAACGTCGTTGTCAAGCGACGAAAACCCACTCCCGATGGCAAACACCGGGGGGGGCGGCTTGTTTTACAACGTCGTTGTCAAGCGACGAAAACCCACTCCCGATGGCAAACACCGGGGGGGGCGGCTTGTTTTACAACGTCGTTGTCAAGCGACGAAAACCCACTCCCGATGGCAAACACCGGGGGGGGCGGCTTGTTTTACAACGTCGTTGTCAAGCGACGAAAACCCACTCCCGATGGCAAACACCGGGGGGGGCGGCTTGTTTTACAACGTCGTTGTCAAGCGACGAAAACCCACTCCCGATGGCAAACACCGGGGGGGGCGGCTTGTTTTACAACGTCGTTGTCAAGCGACGAAAACCCACTCCCGATGGCAAACACCGGGGGGGGCGGCTTGTTTTACAACGTCGTTGTCAAGCGACGAAAACCCACTCCCGATGGCAAACACCGGGGGGGGCGGCTTGTTTTACAACGTCGTTGTCAAGCGACGAAAACCCACTCCCGATGGCAAACACCGGGGGGGGCGGCTTGTTTTACAACGTCGTTGTCAAGCGACGAAAACCCACTCCCGATGGCAAACACCGGGGGGGGCGGCTTGTTTTACAACGTCGTTGTCAAGCGACGAAAACCCACTCCCGATGGCAAACACCGGGGGGGGCGGCTTGTTTTACAACGTCGTTGTCAAGCGACGAAAACCCACTCCCGATGGCAAACACCGGGGGGGGCGGCTTGTTTTACAACGTCGTTGTCAAGCGACGAAAACCCACTCCCGATGGCAAACACCGGGGGGGGCGGCTTGTTTTACAACGTCGTTGTCAAGCGACGAAAACCCACTCCCGATGGCAAACACCGGGGGGGGCGGCTTGTTTTACAACGTCGTTGTCAAGCGACGAAAACCCACTCCCGATGGCAAACACCGGGGGGGGCGGCTTGTTTTACAACGTCGTTGTCAAGCGACGAAAACCCACTCCCGATGGCAAACACCGGGGGGGGCGGCTTGTTTTACAACGTCGTTGTCAAGCGACGAAAACCCACTCCCGATGGCAAACACCGGGGGGGGGGGGGCTTATTTTACAACGTCATTGCCATGCGACGAAAACCCAACCCCGATGGCAACATTGGCCAAGGCCTATCGATTGTCGAGCTGCGGAACAGGTTTGGGATTGGTAAGCACTGCTGTGGATATTGGCTAGACAACAGCTAAGTAGGGCACATACCCAGTCAAAATTGATTGACGTCGTTTTCCGGGGAGTCAGGCAGTCGGACAGGCAAGGAAGGAACAGAGATAATTTTGTGATGCGCCCCCCGGTGGTGTGGGGTAGGCCGCATTTTAAGCGATCGCACGCGCAGCAGCTAGCTGTGCTGCAGCGCACTAGGGATTCGAAAAAATACTACCTCAACACTTGGACAGCGAACGAACGCCGATAAACTACTTGTAGCAGGGCAACGAAACTCGGGCGTGACAATAACGGGCATCAGAACATCAGAACTGATGGCACCTCACAAAGGATGGGGTTCGAAAGCCATGGGCCTTGGGAGACCTTCTTTCATGTAGAAAGACTGCTATATTAGGGTTGAGGGTACCTGGGCGGTGGTGCACTGATCGGTCGCAGACAGGGAAGACAAGTTCCCTCCCAGGCTGGCCACGCCACTGCAGACGTACGCTAACGTAGACAACGCGTGTCCGCTTCCCCACATGGCCTGAAAATAGCAGTGCACATCAGGGGGAGGGATAACGATTCCAGTCGAAGAGCAGGGCACGGGCAAGAAACATTTGTTTGGTACGGACAGCGGGGAATTCAAAACAGTAACCCCACCAGTTGTTATGCGGGAATCAAGAATCACCTACGTCACTGATTCTTGCATTGCACGCATTCGCATTTTGCTGGCACGCACTACCGCCATCTGCGATACGTGTGCGGGTGGGTCAAGTACGGCTGGCTCAAGTTTGCAGTACGACCCGGGGAGGGGGGTCGACGATCGACCTCGCATCCCTACAAAGTCGGGACGAAGCACGCCGGGTTTTCACCGGACCAGGCTGTAGCACATCACCAAGCGCGAAGCGCCGTGAGGTGGGACATGCAACGTAAACCGGCGATCCCGGCTTACCAGGCTGGTGTTTGTGACTGGAAGACCGGAGATGTAGTCAGACGGGAATCCGATGCCATAGCTGTCACAATTGCACCTGTTGCAGGCAAGTACGAACGGTGGCAAAGACAACGGCAGCCAACAGCACACAGCCGCAGGCAAGAAAAAACCTTTAGCTGGCTTAGCCTAGGGTTAGACTGCCGCGATGGAGGAACGCGCTGTCGACCTGATAGAGGGAGTGGATGGGTGAGAATTGAGAACCACCTGCCGAGGATCCCCGGTCTCCTCCTTTACCTCCAATAATTAGCAGGAACAAAAAACGAGCCTAGGTCGTTTAAGTGTACTATCAAATTTATTCGCGCTACTGCTGTAGAACTCCCCCAAGTGCACGCTATAGGCCGCTGTGTACACGACTCACACACGGCAAGCAATAGTTATTTCGTCGGAGTCTTACTCCAAGCGATGACGACGGAGATCAGATGTTGATATCCTTCGTATTACCGGAGGAAGAGGAACACCTGCGGGATCTATCAATATGCTGTAGGCGGCTTCCCTACACTACAATACCGTCTCAGGAACTGTCGTCCGTTCTTGCGTTGTTAGTGCACCCGATCACGCCTCGTTCGCCTTTCTCGGTTCATTGAGCAAGGACGACGGCATCGTAACTCTCCCAAGACATCGAGCAGCTCGTCAAACAGCGAGGATGTCATAAACAGGCAGTCTTTCATGCCGATCGCTCTGTTCTGCGACAACAGTTTCAGCGCGTTCTAAAGGCGTCAATCGCGCCACGGCAAGAAAGCAAGGGAGGTATAGCAGTGCATGATTGATTGAGCACTCAAAACACACTCTCTCTGCAGAAGCGTCGAAACGACGCATACGGGGGGAGAGACGAGGTCAGCGGCAATTGCAATACCGGTCGGTACGATTGGTCGTTGCCGTCCCGGACCACGTCATCCCATGCGACTTTGGTGCAGGACGTCCCTTGTCAGGCGCGCTACACACGATACAAAAAATGATGCGATCGAAAAACTATCGATTTTACCTGAAGAAGATGTTGTTGTCGTAGCAGAGCACGTTGGGGTGCGAGGCGAACGTCTGCAGGTCCTCGAAGGTGGGTACCGGGGTATCGGCGAAAGGAATATCCCCTTCGTATCTTGTTGGCTCCGAATCACCCTTGATCAACCCCATCAGGTAGAGGAACAAGGCCGGCACTGCCAGCTCGATCAGCTGGGGTGTAGTGCATCGCGTCATCCAAGGTCGCGATGAACACGAACATGGAGGGCAAGTGCGGGGGGGGGGGGGCGGGGGGGGAGGGCGTACGGCACAGTAGCGAAGGTACGGGTACACAGGACACCGATTCAGCAAGAACAAGAAGCAGACGGTTGTTCCTTCTGAGAAGAGATTCAGCTAAAGCAGTAGCATATACATGAAAGCGGCGAAAAAATGGACAAAGCCATGTGCACGTTGCTCATACCGGTCCGTACGTGAGTGTACAGCACATGAAAGCTTATGTGAGACGGCCGGTTCTGTGGCGCACCAGCGGCATCCAGGTGATTTTCTCCTTCTTCCTTTTGGCGGCGAACGGGGTTAGACTCACCGTCGGGAGATGGTCGTGGCGGCAGTAGAACAACAAGCACGTCACGGTAGCGAATCAACTCAATCAACCTTGACGCCTTCCAACTCGATTCATTCGTGTACAACGCGTTTCGATGCCGTGTGCCTTGTGGAACACACCTATCTTTTCATCATTAGACTATTGGGTATCAATTTTTTGGATGATGGCGAACGACTCGGAGTGCAAGAAGGGGATAGCGCGAGTGGCGGGGAGGACGTCGCGTCCATGACCCAAGTGTCGCATTCCTATGATCGCTAGGAGATACAGGACACATTGTGCTTAACACCGTGTGAAAAGGTCCTCAGGTGTGGTGGGCAATAGATGTCCGAGCGCCGCCTTTTTGTGATTCTCATCCACACACGTGCCATTCTGGTTCGGTTTGGAAACTTACACTGTTTCCCCGCGGCGTCGTATGTGCCGGGTTTTGAGACCACGGGCTCCCCATTTTTTGTGGACTATAGAGTAAATGTGCCGATTAAGTACCACTTAACGGAGCCCCCGCTCTGAGAGGTCGTTCTCGGGTGTCTTGACGATTTGTGGCGACAGAGAGGTATCGAACGTTAGCTTACAACACGATCTAAACGATGAAACAACAAAAAACAAAAAAAGTGCATGTGGTGATGACATGGTGCCAGCGTAGTATTCTTCATTTGTCGGGGAAAAATACCGGTAAAACACAAATGCCCCGATTAAGGACCACTTCGAATTCGTAGTGATTGCGCACTTTCTAATGATTTCCAGAACTTTTCCTTTGGCAAGTATCGTTATGGTAGTAACAAAGCATTTTCGAAAAAAATATTTTTAAAAACATGCATGCCCGGGGACAAAAAGAAGAAATCCCCGTGTTTTTTTGCCTGTTTTTGGGCCAAAAATGGCCTACTTTGGGCACCACGCAAAGAGGTTTCAAGTGTTTTTTGCCCGTTTTTTCTTCGGCACAGCAAGCACCCCTAGAATAGACACCATGCAAATTTTTGTTGTCATCCGGGTTGATTTAGTCTCTATCTGACATACAGATGCGATTTTTGCCCCCATTTGGACCAAAATCGAGGGGGCAAAATAGAAAAAAAAAAAAGGAAAAAAAGCGGATGAAAAAACAAAATGCACGACCCAAGGTTCGAACCTGCCTCGTACTGGGTCTATGGAGAGCAACAAAACACACCCACATGTCAGTGCTGAAACCCCAACCACTCGACTCTATCGGCGGCCACGTCAGGAGGCAATGATGAGATAATGTTCTTCCGTGCCCTCCTCACATTGAACGACATGCCATTACACATAGGACGGAAACACACACACACGCACAAGGTAACTATGTTCTCCCGCGCCGCCATGCCCCCACATCACAAACAAAAAAAAAAGTTGATGATGACGAAACTATCTACACAACAACCCGAAACGCGCTTGCTCCGCAACCACATAAGGGTGCTATAAAAATAGAACACCCGACAAACCGAGCTCCCCTAAAAAATCTTCCGTCTACAACTTCCCAACATAACATACAGATTGATATACAAGATGGCTACCAAACTGCCTTGTTGAGCCTGTTACCCACAGGGGAGTTGTTATCGTTGTATGCTGTCTGGGAAACCGTAGACATACAGCAGGTAGCCTTTCGCTCACGCTATGGATTCATTGCTAATCTATCTTCGACGTATTTCTATAGATAGAGATGGATTTGCTGTCACTGTGTGATATTAAGAAAAAGAAAAAAAAAACACTAGACCACACAGACAGACAGTGACCTACGCATTCACGGAAAACTACCATTATATAGGTCAATATTATGACCTGGCTTAGCCGGAGCCACCACACAGCAACAAAAAAAAAAAGCATGCATCACCTGGCGCAGAATGCTGTGTAGAACGAAGCCCTCCACCAACTTCGGCTTAAATGAAAGGTGAGGTCCATAGCAACGCGAAGAAAAAAACAGAAAGGCTTTCCGCGATGGTATCGGCAAGATGTGTTTTTTTGAAAAACGCTGTCCCTAATAGGGGGGGGGGGGGGGGGGGGGGGGGGGTTTTTTTTTTTTT